GCTGAGCTCTTAACATGAAGCAGCAGCAGTGACCCTGGCGGGTCGGGCTGACGTGCGTGGGAACGGTGGGAGTGACCCTGGCTGGGAAGCAGGGAGGCCTGGATATTGTTTCTCCTGGCTCTGTGTCCTGCGGCTCTCGTCCCTGTGCTCAGAGCTCGCAAGCACCCACGATGGCCTTCTCAGGCCGAGCGCGCCCCTGCGTTATCCCAGAGAACGAAGAAATCCCACCAGCGGCCCTTAACAGTGTCCCCGAGGCCAATGGGACCGAGGACGAGAGGGCTGTCTCCAAACTGCAGCGCAGGCACAGTGACGTGAAAGTCTACAAGGAGTTCTGTGACTTTTATGCAAAATTGTGAGTGTCTCCTCTCCTGGAGTGCCCTCTTCCAGGTCGGGCGTTCTTGGCTGGCTGTTCAGGAGCCATCCTGAGCTGGCCCATACAATTTTATTGACTGGACTTTGAGTGGGAGTTTTCCAGGGTGGTAGGGCTCTGAGGGGCTCGCAGTACAGCACGTTTAGGGAGACAGGAGGCTCCTTGTCGGTAAGACATGCAGCGACACGCAGATGGGAGGGAGGTGCTGCCCTCACTGAGAGCACCGCGGCCCCGTCTTCAGTAGATTCCTGATCACTTGGTAGCTGCATTTTCATCATGTCGTCCGCAGGGGAGGCTTATCGTTGTCGCTGTCAGGAATTACATTAGAAAAATTCTGCACTCTAAAACAGCCCAAAGATAAGGGGCAGATGGGTTGGAACAGTGAAAAAAACAAATTACAGACTGTTTAAAGATAAATATTTTTGTTATGTGTAACAATCAACAGTTTGAAGTAAGCTAACTGGGTTTCTTAATTGAATGAATAAATACATACATTGTATAAGTAGCAAATCAATACACATATAGAACATACTGTTAACTCGAAAAAGCTAGGCTAATTTATATTATTAAATGGGTTTTAGTAAACACATTTTTTGAGAAAATGCAGAGTAGCCATCAGACCAGCTCAAGATTATTGACCTCATTCAAAGTTGTGAGCTTAGAATTACTGCATATCCCCAATTTGTCAAGTAAGAGTTAATGAGAATTTAACTGACCTGGTTCTCTACTTCCATAATCCGTTCTCTGTGGTACAGATGTCACTTATCTTCACAACTCACCGAGAGCTCTTGGTCAGTTGGACAGTAACTGGGGAATTGTAATAATACAGTCACCAATTTTTTCACTGCTTGAACTCTCAAGATGATTTTTGGATTTATACATTGCTGCATTTTAGGACCAAACAATTTGTTTTGCACACTTGAATAATGGAAAGCAAGATATCAAGTGTGCTGTGTGAGGTTGATTTGTGGAAGTAGATCAGCTTCATCAGTCATGCCTGGCCTGATTTTTACATATAAATATCTATAGATAGGTAGATACTTCCCCACTTATGTATTTCTTGTCATCAACAGTTTTTAGTGAAAATCTTTTTCTTAAAAATTAGCTAATTAATTATAACTAATCCGATAGCTATAACTGTCACTAATGACTTTTTAAAAGTAATTTCTGTCATCTGTATTAAATATAAAATCAACATTTAAAAAAAATAAAAAATAAAAAACAGGCATTGTGCCAGAGGGTCAAAGGCAAAAGAGGAAAGGGAAGCCTGACTGGTTCAGGGGGCAGCAAGGGGATTGTTCTGTTTCCTTTTTTCCTCTGCTTGTTATAAAAAGGAATACTTCTTGCAAAATACATATTATGTTACTTCTAAAACTAGCGCATTTTTCCCCGTGTGTGGGAAGTAACTATGTGCTTGTTTTTATGATGTAGCTACCTATTTCCTAATTCTACTTGAGTATTTGAACTTAAGTAGAAACAATCTATATTATAATGAGTTTAAACTGGTCAGTGATAATCAAACATTTTCATCTAAGGGCCTCTTAACACTTAAAAACTATTAAGGTCTTCAAAGAACTTTCATTTATCAGTATTTACTGTATGAGAAATTTAAACTGGGAACAATTTAAAATACTTATTATTTCATTTAAAAAAAAACAATAAGCTTATTACATGTTAATAGCAAATGTTAATATTAATGTTTTCATGAAAAATAACTGTTTTCCAAAATGGAAGAGGTTTAGAGGAAAGGATGGCATTATGTTACATTTTTGTGAATCTTGTTAATATCTGTCTTTTTTTTTTTTTTTTTTTTTTTTCCTTTGAGACGGAGTCTGGCTCTGTCGCCCGGGCTGGAGTGCAGTGGCCTGATCTCAGCTCACTGCAAGCTCCGCCCCCCGGGTTTACGCCATTCTCCTGCCTCAGCCTCCCGAGTAGCTGGGACTACAGGCGCCCGCCGCCTCACCCGGCTAGTTTTTTGTATTTTTTTAGTAGAGACGGGGTTTCACCGTGTTCGCCAGGATGGTCTCGATCTCCTGACCTCGTGATCCGCCCGTCTCAGCCTCCCAAAGTGCTGGGATTACAGGCTTGAGCCACCGCGCCCGGCCGTTAATATCTGTCTTAATAAAAGTTTCTCATATTTGTTTCTGCATTCAACCTATTACGGTATATTGTTTTAGATGAAATATATGAAGAAAATGTGGCCTCCCACAGAGATGTAGTTGGAAAACAGAGGAGCTTTCCACCTCCTGAAAGAGTCATGGTGACCCCGACATTTTGGAAACCACTGATTTAGGTGATAATGAGCCAGGACATTCTAGAATATTCTTTTTGGGCTCTTTTAGAGTCCCATTAAGATTGTTGAGGTTTGGTGAATCTTTTGAGAGGGTTTAGAATTAACCACAGTGCCATATATTTGAGCAGCATCTTCTGGTTTCCAAATGGTTTTAAATACTTTTTCCTTGGAACAATAATGAGAACAGTACTGAGAATGACCAGGCAGGTGTGGAGCTTACCATGTTCCTCCATCCAGGAACACCTGTGGACTTTGGTCAGGAAGAAGGAAGAAGCACAGACCTCTCCAGAGTTTTGTGAAACTGCCACAGTCATCTGGCTTGTGGCAAAGCTGGGCGATGATGAGAATTGTACAGATTTTTTCCCTAGCCCACAGGAACTTTGAAATGACAAAATGGAAATTCATTTTAACATGAGGCTTAGGCCAGGTTTACTGAGCAGTGAAGCTGCTTCCCTTTCTCCCTTCCTTCCTTTTTTTTGTGACATTTAATTCTGCATTCAAACCTGTTAGATAAAGTTGATCTTTGACTGGTCTGAAGTGATGAACATGGTGTGTCTACACGCAGTTATTTATGGCAAGGCTACAAAACGGGCTGACTGTTTTGTGAAACATTTGTGGGAGGAAGGCAGAGGGAAAGTTGTCTTCCAGAGGTGTGGAGGGGAGTGAAGCAAGTAAGTGGGACCACTTTTGCTAAGGAAACAGCAAAACTTGGAAACCAATAGGGGCAAGGCAGTTAGTTACTCTGTCTATAGAATGGAGACTGTCCACCTGTCTGTCTCACTAGTTGGTTGTGAAAATTCAGGAGAAAGTTGGTAATAACTTCATGAAGTACATTGATTAAATATTTGGAAGGTCAGAAGCTGTACCAGTGGACTAGACACACAGGTGTAGAGCTCATGCTGTGAGTAGTCCTGTGAAAATAAACTGGCCAAAAATTGAAGGACCACTTGACCAGTTCCTGCCCTGCATGGGGGACCTTCTCCCTACAAATAGGTCTTCATGTGAAATCCTGATCTAATTGTATGCCTGTCGAAGCCGTGTTGCTTTTCTTTTCTTTTTTTTTTTTCCTTTTTGAAATGGAGTTTTGTTCTTGTTGCCCAGGCTGGAGTGCAGTGGTGAAATCTCGGCTCACTGCAACCTCTGCCTCCCAGGTTCAAGTGATTCTCTTGCCTCAGCCTCCCAAGCAGCTGGGACTACAGGCATGCACCACCACACCTGGCTAATTTTGTATTTTTATTAGAGACGAGGTTTTACCATGTTGGTCACACTGGTCTCGAACTCTTGACCTCAAGTAATCCATCGGCCTCAGCCTCCCAAAGTCCTGGGATTACAGGCGTGAGCCACCTCACCCAGCTGCCATGTTGCTTTTCTTCTTGCAAACTGCACAATGGTTAGAGCCTGAGATTATTTATTGAATGCCTTCTGTGTTTTAAGGTGTAGTGGGGTTACTGATGGGGGGATTTCCCACACCACCAGCCACAACAGTGGTTACTTGACAGCCTGGTATCACTTTCCTAACCATGAAACGTGGTGGTATCCCTGTCATGTCCTTTCAAGTGTTTGAAATTCGTGGTGTAATCTGTTTTGATTGAGAGTGTGATTTTATGAGCAGGGAACCTGGATTTCTAGTCCCGTGCCTTCCTTTAACTAATTAGCCTTGTGATGTTGGTCTGATCCTTCCATCTCTGTGAACCTCTTTTGCCATCTGTAAAATGATCTTTATTATGTAAAATTTTGTGGTTTTAAGATACACTTTATAATACTGGTAATCAGGTTCGTCTTACCGATTAGGGAACAGGACCGGGGCATCTTGGCTGGTTTTAAGGTTACTTAAGCAGTTGCTTTCCACAGAATTTAATCAAAGGGGTAACCTGTGTCTAGGTTATATGGTATGGCATTTAGTTGACAAGCATTTTAGATTCTATTCTTAGAAGGGAAAGAAATTGGCCTTGAGATGCTGACTTTTGGATATTTTAATTAAGCTTCTTATAAAGCTGTAAACCAAGTTCCTTGAGAGCAGCTTATAACTTTCATCTCTGTCTCAGGTGCCTAACACATAGTAGGCACGCACTCATAATATATTTAGCAAGAAAAATGCCAAAAATGTTAGAGACAGAATCAAAGTGGGACACCCTTACAGAGCCTCAGATGCTAGGGTAGAGGCTGAGGAGTCCAAGTTCAGAGCACGTAAGGAACAAGCGAGAAACTAAACTTTTTAGATAAAATAGGGTTTTTGTGATCAGATAGAATTCGCTGCTCACGGTTCTTGGTGTGGTTTGGTCTTCAATCTAAGAAGAGGCTGACGGTCTGCAACCTGCTGTTCTTTGTGTGTTACAGCAACATGGCCAATGCCCTGGCCAGCGCCACTTGTGAGCGCTGCAAGGGCGGCTTTGCACCCGCTGAGAAGATCGTAAACAGTAACGGGGAGCTGTACCATGAACAGTGTTTCGTGTGCGCTCAGTGCTTCCAGCAGTTCCCAGAAGGACTCTTCTATGAGGTGAGTTGTGCTAGACAAAAGCAGGGAGGTGCCATTCCCCGCCCTCCCGCTTCCTGCCCTTCTTTTCTGAGGCCTCCTCCTTCATGTTCAGTTTCATGAGGAAAGACTGAATTGAAGTGTCAGATGCATGCCAGGTATTTGATAGCTATGAGGTCAGAGGTGGAATCTGTATGGCCCATATGGACAGTGGCATGGATGGGACACCCTCACAAACCCTGCATTCATATTGCTCAGTTCGTTGTCCTATTTCAGAACCCAGAGTCCCTTATGACAGAGCCTTTCAGACCTAAGCAGCTCAGCTCCACATACAAAATTCTTTCCGAGTCTTCACCCACACTCAGGCCCCCAACACACCTCACCCATTCCTGTCTCTGTGTCTGTCCCCCTTCTCAGAGGACCACTGGACCCGCTCTAAAGGACAGTGTGTGCTGTACGTCACCCCCTCCACAACTTCCCAGCCTCGAGCCAGGAGCGTCCATGCATTTATTTTCTAAGGAAAAAATAAGTATTTTAGGGAACTAGACTATCTACATTTATCTACATTTAGCTCTTCTGGGTGTGTATGTTCTTTTCCAAATACTTGTTTTTCTTGGCCGTCAGGTGTTAGCATATGGTCTGCACTTCCTTTGTAGTGTATTTGGTATTCTCAACATTACTGAAACCCCTTTCTCGTTGTTTTGTATTGTTTTGTTTTGTTTGAGACAAAGTCCTATTGTATAGCCCAGGCTAGAGTGTAGTGGTATGATTATAGCTCATTGCAGCCTTGAACTGCTAAGCTCAAGTGATCCTCCAGCCTCTGCCTCCTGAGTAGCTGGGACTACAGGCGTATGCCACCACGCCCGACTAATTTTATTTTTTCTAGAACGGAGTCTCCCTATGTTGCCCAGGCTGGTCTTGAACTCCTGGTCTCAGGTGATCCTCGGCCTCCCAAAGTGCTAGGATTACAGGCATGAACCACCACGTCCAGCCTACTGAAACCCCTTTCTCACAGTAAACATGTATTTTGGGGGATAATCTAGGGATGCTGACCCCAGGCTGTAAATGAAGGTGAGAATGAGGTATTTTGTGTGTGTTAGATCAAATAGGTAATTTACTGTTACCACCTTACTTCTTACATATTTGTACATATCTGCACATCTATATATGATAATATATGTATGTAGAATTATTTTATAGCTGGAGGTGGCTGCTCTTTGATTTCTTCCTTTGCCTAGTGGATTTTTATATTTCCCTGTTATATAAACCATGCTTGCCGGGCGCGTTGGCTCACGCCTGTAATCCCAGCACTTTGGGAGGCCGAGGCGGGCGGATCACAAGGTCAGGAGATCGAGACCACGGTGAAACCCCGTCTCTACTAAAAATACAAAAAATTAGCCGGGCGCGGTTGTGGGCGCCTGTAGTCCCAGCTACTCGGGAGGCTGAGGCAGGAGAATGGCGTGAACCCGGGAGGCGGAGCTTGCAGTGAGCCGAGATCGCGCCACTGCACTCCAGCCTGGGCGACAGAGCGAGACTCCGTCTCAAAAAAAAAAAATAATAAAATAAACCATGCTTGAGCAAGGAAAGGTAGTTTACAAAGATCATTGGTAAGTCCGTTGTGTGCCTCTCAGGCAGCATTTTCCCATAGAAACAAACATCATGAGATGGGGGTTCCCAGGCCAGCCCACAGAAAAGCTGTTTACCCCATCACGGGTACATGAAATTTAGGGCTAGCAAGTATGTAATAATGTCACTCTGGGAAACAGCTTTAAGGGTTTGGGTTAGGGAATGCTATTTTATTCACTAGTACACATTTTTTTTAAGCTCCTGTTGTGTCCCCAAAACACACATTCCCGACAACAAAAACCTTAGCAGTGGAAAGAGGTCTTCATTTTCTCTTTTCTTCTAATTCTTTTTTTTACTTTATTTCTTTAGACCTCCAAACATGCTCTGTGTATTTTCTTGCAGTTTTTCCTGTTCTTCCTGACTCCTTCCCTGGGCAGTGGGAGTCTTTTGGGCAAGGATGATGGGTTTAGGGATGGGCAAATGACAGTTGTGAGGATGGACAGGAGCAGGAGAGGCCAATGTACCACAGCAGAAGAGGGCGGGAGAGGAGCTCCAGAGGTGTGAATGGAGGCATCAGGCATAGAGACCCCTACTGAGGCTATAGGTAGACTGTGATTGGCTGGTGAGGAGAAGGAAAAGGAAATCCCTAGGTGCTAAGGCAGCAAGAAGAGAGGGCGTTTGCTGGTGCTAGTGGTGGTGAGCCATGACTCAATTCAGGTAGAGGGACCTGAGGACCTGCTCTACCTCAGCACCATGGAGGCCTGCCAGGACTGTGGCAAGGAAGGAGATGAGACTCCCAAGGCACATTGAAGGGAATTCTGGAAAGCTGGCTTGGAGAGAGCATTGGTCTTCTCACTATATGAATCCCTTCTTTATCCCTCCCTTTTTTTTTTTTTTTAATCCTGTGGTCCAGAGAGGTTGAAATGTCTGATAACACAGCAGGTTTGTGACATGAAAGAGATGAGAACCTATCTGGTCTCCTAGTATCCAATACAGTATTCTTTCCGTGACATATTCTTTTTAAATATATTTTTATTGAAATGGGCGATTATGACAAAGGCCTTAGGAGAGCTTGGTCCAGGGGAGCAATAGAGAAGAACTCAGAGAAAAAGACAGGCTCTGTTGTCCCAAACATTTTCCTTATATCCCTGGCCTGCTGTTTCCCCTGAGAGCACCCTGGAGCTCCAGCACTCCGTCACCTTCTTTCTCCCATTTTGCCTGTGACTTAGGAATGAACATGATGGTTAAGCTACCTTCATTAAGCAGCATGACCGCTTCCTGAGCTCCTGCTGCCGCATTTAGGCCCTGTCAGCTGTGAGGCCACTGGTGCTGAGTCAGAGGGAAAGGCTCAGAACAGCCTTGAGCAGCGAAGAATAAAGTGTGACTCATCTCGTCCTGCCCACCCCTCACACTGGACTATAAATACCCTCCCTGGGTCTGTGTGCTGTTATTCCAAAAGATGTGTTGAATACCCAGAACTAGGCTATTCATGGGCTGTTGCCCAGTTCAAGCTGTTGGGTCCTGAGGAAGATTACTATTTTGGCTACATTGTTTATCATTAAAACCAGCCCAGGAATGTGTAAACCCGCATGTGGAGAATAAGAAATTTCTTTTTGGTTAAATGATATTAGAGAAAAAACCATCCAAGGCTGCTAACAAATAATCTTTACTTTCAATTATATCAGCAATAAGTTGTTTTCCAGAAAAGGAAGCTTGGAAGCTTACCCGGTTTGCCTTCCATGTGGGACATGACTGATGTGCTTCAGTCTTTGTATAATAACAAATGCATCTTTGCCACTCTGTATCTTGGTTATTGCTTTTGTCTCATTATCAGAACAACTTCCTTCCCTGATTTCCACAGCCTCTATGTGTTCTTTTCTCTAGAAGACTAGCTGTGAAGACTTAGAGGTGGGTTCTGTGCACTCGCTTCCCCTTGAAAATGTGATTTACTTTTATGGTAGAACTTTGTGGTACTTTGAATTAAATAGGACATTCTTCCCTTTGGCCACAGAGGCAAGTATGGAATGAGATCCTTGTTTCCTAACCACTTACTAGAACATATATCTGAAGAAATGAGCACCAGTATTTCTGTCTCAACTACAGTTTCTCTTTTCTTTTCTTTTTTTTTTTTTTTTTTTGAGACGGAGTCTTGCTCTGTCGCCCAGGCTGGAGTGCAGTGGCCGGATCTCGGCTCACTGCAAGCTCTCCCTCCCGGGTTTACATCGTTCTCCTGCCTCAGCCTCCCGAGTAGCTGGGACTACAGGCACCTGCCACCTCACCCGGCTAGTTTTTTGTATTTTTTTTTAGTAGAGATGGGGTTTCACCATGTTAGACAGGATGGTCTTGATCTCCTGACCTTGTGATCCGCCCATCTCGGCCTCCAAAGTGCTGGGATTACAGGCTTGAGCCACCGCGCCCGGACTTTTTTTCTTTTTCTTAAGACAGGGTCTCACCCTGTTACCCAGGCTGGAGTGCAGTGGCACCATCATGGCTCACTGCAGCCTTGACTTCTGGGCTCAAGCAATCCTCCCATCTCAGCCTCCCTAGGAGCTGGGACTACAGGCGCACACTACCACAGCCAGATAATTAAAAAAATTTTTTTGCAGAAACAGGGTCTTGCCATGTTGCCCAGGCTGGTCTCCACTTCCTGTACTCAAGTGATTAGATGCCATTTCCCTGGGAAAATACGCTTTCAGCCCAGAGGCCCTAACGCTAACTTTAGTGATTCCTCAATCTAACTTTGTGACATCCAGCGTTATCTCCAGTAAAAGGAATATCTTAATTTTTTCCATAAGAAAATACTTTTGGGAGTGAGGTAGAGCCAACAGTTGCAAGAGTGATTTAAGTCCAGGAAGTGTTGCAGAGTGTGATGGACTGAACCAAGGACCAGGGACCTGGTGTGCAGCTGATTAACCCTGACTTAGTACATTCTCAGGGCTGGGTTCTTTGTTGGTGCTTCACATTTCTCTCTCCTTAGTTTGAATTTCACAAATGTCCTTTTTTCCCATCACAAAATGCATTAACAGGAAAGATCCATATTTTTATTTTTATTTTTATTTTTTTTGAGATGGAGTTTCACTCTTGTTGCCCAGGCTGGAATGCAAATGCACAATCTTAGCTCACCACAACCTCCATCTCGCAGGTTCAAGCAATTCTCCTGCCTCAGCCTCCCAAGTAGCTGGGATTACAGGCATGTGCCACCACGCCCGGCTAATTTTGTATTTTTAGTAGAGACGGGGTTTCTCCATGTTGGTCAGGCTGGTCTCAAACTCCCGACCTCAGGTGATCTGCTCGCCTTGTCCTCCCAAAGTGCTGAGATTACAGGCGTGAGCCACTGCCCCTGGCCAGGAAAGACCCATTTATGATGAGTAAGTTTGTAGCAAGATGTTTTACAGAGAGGTTTCTTCACTCATTTACTCTGATTATTCAGGAAGGCGGAAACTGAGAATGGAAGCCAC